GAGTGAGCCGAGGCCGGCGGCCTAGAGTGAGCGGAGGCAGGCTTGAGTGAGCGGCGGCGTGCGGGCTTGCGGCAACCACATGTGACGACCCCGGGCTGGACTCGTCCACGGTGAAAGCTGATCCAGCGATCCATAGCGCAAAGTTGATGTATTTCCTCAGCGACCAGCACGGATCAGCACCAGGCATGACGAAGCGGATATGGTCCTCTTTTGGAAGGCCAAACAAAGTAGTTTCGCTTTCACAATTTCCCTGGTTGTTGTTTAAATACGTTAAGCCACATTAAGCTGTCCCCTGAAAATTCTGTCATTAATTCCTTACCCTCGTGTTGTTCAAAACTCATAAGATCTTCGTTCATCTTCGTCACTTTGGATGCGAGTTCACGACAGTACCATGACGCGAGCGTGTGGCGGTGCCGGCGCTGACCCAGATCCGGCGTGATGACGTCATTACGGCGGATTTGGGTCAGCGCCGCCACACGCTCGCGTCATGATCAAGCGGCAGCCTCCCGCTCTCTCTCGTGAAGCCAACAAGGAAGTGACTTAAATTGTAATTCATCAACTGGCCGCTAGAGGCTGGCTGCAAAAGGGAGTCAATCCCATAGACTCCCTATGTTAAAATGCCCAACTTTACAGCAGAAAAAAACATGGTTACAGCCTGGTTCAAAAATTATTTTGGTCTATATAGCTAATTTTGCCCTTCATGACAACTGTGAGGGCGTGGTTCACGACAGTACCATGACGCGAGCGTGTGGCGGTGCCGGCGCTGACCCAGATCCGGCGTGATGACGTCATTACGGCGGATTTGGGTCAGCGCCGCCACACGCTCGCGTCATGATCAAGCGGCAGCCTCCCGCTCTCTCTCGTGAAGCCAACAAGGAAGTGACTTAAATTGTAATTCATCAACTGGCCGCTAGAGGCTGGCTGCAAAAGGGAGTCAATCCCATAGACTCCCTATGTTAAAATGCCCAACTTTACAGCAGAAAAAAACATGGTTACAGCCTGGTTCAAAAATTATTTTGGTCTATATAGCTAATTTTGCCCTTCATGACAACTGTGAGGGCGTGACAACATAATTAAGGGCGTGGCCACTTGAGTGACAGGTGGATTGCAGCTGCTGTCACCACCGTTGAGCTAGGTAGGCGTGGTTTCAGCAACCTGCTCCCGCCTCTTTGCCCATTTTTGATTATCCGGGGGTGACGCGCAGTAACGCGCTGCCAAGATGGCGACGGCCCGCTCCGCCCACTTTGAGCTTCAAAAACGCTCTTCGGAAATCTACGGGTGACGTCACGGACACTACGTCCATGTTTTTATACAGTCTATGGTCATGATACTGTCGTGAATGCGCGTCCAAAGTGACGCATTTGAGACGAAAATGTGGAATAAATTCGTTATTTTCGTTTTTTTTGTGCAAAAAAAGTATTCTCGTAGCTTCGTAACTTTACAGTTGAACCACTACTGATGTCACACGGACTACTTTGTTGAATAAAGGCCTTCTGAAGCGACGCAATGTGTTTGTTGTAAGAAAAATATCCATATTTACAACTTTATAAACCTTAATCTCTAGCTTCCGCTAACTGTCATACACGCATTCACAAGAGAGGGGTGTCCAGCGGATGACGTAGCTAAACGTGGTAATGAACATGGAAGTGACGAATGTGGAAGTGCAGAGGAGAGAGCAAAACAAAACACCGGTCATGAATTAGTAGTACAAAACGAGGATTTGTAAAGAAAAATGTCGGAGGATTTCAATATAAGTCAAGAGGACACTGGTTTTCCTTTGCTGTAAACAAAACTTGTTTCTCGCGAGACTAGCATGTTCTCTCCGGAGTTTACGCTACGCCCACGTCATCCGCTGGACGGCACTCTCTCGTGAACGTGCGTACGACAGTGGAAGTTAGAGATTAAGGTTTATAAAGTTGTAAATATGGATCTTTTTCTTACACAAACACATCACTTCGGGAGGCCCTTATTAACCCCCCGGAGCCATGTGGACTTTTTTATATAATGGATTGGTTCAATTTTTTTAATTATAAAGCTTGGAGGGGCCAGGATGTTTTTTAATATAACTCCGATTGTATTCGTCTGAAAAAAGAAAGTCATATACATCTAGGATGGCTTGAGGGTAAGTAAATCATGGGGTAATTTTTTCATTTTTGGGTGAACTAACCCTTTAATTGCCTATAACCTACAATATAGCTAGATCTGAGAATCCAGATCGCTTTTATCATCAGCAACTGTCATATTGTCCAGCCCTAAAGCTCGCTCTATAAGCAATATGGCATTATAGACATAACAATATGACTTTCTTTAAAAGCTGCTTTGTCATGATGTGTATTGTGTAAAGTGCTATACTAATAAATGTGTCCTGGCTTGACTTGACTCAAACAAATACCCAAAAATATATTTGTTGTACCTCACTGCCCTTAGCCAGGGCAAAGCCTCCCCCTAGCAGGAGGATAATGCTCCATGGCATCTTCTGCTGTGTCACCTTCCATGTCAGCAAAGTTGGAGTATGTCCACTTTCCTGCTGGGGCACTATAGACCACAGTCATATTTATTACATTTATTAGCTTTATATATATATATATGTTAAAATGCCCAACTTTACAGCAGAAAAAAACATGGTTACAGCCTGGTTCAAAAATTATTTTGGTCTATATAGCTAATTTTGCCCTTCATGACAACTGTGAGGGCGTGACAACATAATTAAGGGCGTGGCCACTTGAGTGACAGGTGGATTGCAGCTGCTGTCACCACCGTTGAGCTAGGTAGGCGTGGTTTCAGCAACCTGCTCCCGCCTCTTTGCCCATTTTTGATTATCCGGGGGTGACGCGCAGTAACGCGCTGCCAAGATGGCGACGGCCCGCTCCGCCCACTTTGAGCTTCAAAAACGCTCTTCGGAAATCTACGGGTGACGTCACGGACACTACGTCCATGTTTTTATACAGTCTATGGTCATGATACTGTCGTGAATGCGCGTCCAAAGTGACGCATTTGAGACGAAAATGTGGAATAAATTCGTTATTTTCGTTTTTTTTGTGCAAAAAAAGTATTCTCGTAGCTTCGTAACTTTACAGTTGAACCACTACTGATGTCACACGGACTACTTTGTTGAATAAAGGCCTTCTGAAGCGACGCAATGTGTTTGTTGTAAGAAAAATATCCATATTTACAACTTTATAAACCTTAATCTCTAGCTTCCGCTAACTGTCATACACGCATTCACAAGAGAGGGGTGTCCAGCGGATGACGTAGCTAAACGTGGTAATGAACATGGAAGTGACGAATGTGGAAGTGCAGAGGAGAGAGCAAAACAAAACACCGGTCATGAATTAGTAGTACAAAACGAGGATTTGTAAAGAAAAATGTCGGAGGATTTCAATATAAGTCAAGAGGACACTGGTTTTCCTTTGCTGTAAACAAAACTTGTTTCTCGCGAGACTAGCATGTTCTCTCCGGAGTTTACGCTACGCCCACGTCATCCGCTGGACGGCACTCTCTCGTGAACGTGCGTACGACAGTGGAAGTTAGAGATTAAGGTTTATAAAGTTGTAAATATGGATCTTTTTCTTACACAAACACATCACTTCGGGAGGCCCTTATTAACCCCCCGGAGCCATGTGGACTTTTTTATATAATGGATTGGTTCAATTTTTTTAATTATAAAGCTTGGAGGGGCCAGGATGTTTTTTAATATAACTCCGATTGTATTCGTCTGAAAAAAGAAAGTCATATACATCTAGGATGGCTTGAGGGTAAGTAAATCATGGGGTAATTTTTTCATTTTTGGGTGAACTAACCCTTTAATTGCCTATAACCTACAATATAGCTAGATCTGAGAATCCAGATCGCTTTTATCATCAGCAACTGTCATATTGTCCAGCCCTAAAGCTCGCTCTATAAGCAATATGGCATTATAGACATAACAATATGACTTTCTTTAAAAGCTGCTTTGTCATGATGTGTATTGTGTAAAGTGCTATACTAATAAATGTGTCCTGGCTTGACTTGACTCAAACAAATACCCAAAAATATATTTGTTGTACCTCACTGCCCTTAGCCAGGGCAAAGCCTCCCCCTAGCAGGAGGATAATGCTCCATGGCATCTTCTGCTGTGTCACCTTCCATGTCAGCAAAGTTGGAGTATGTCCACTTTCCTGCTGGGGCACTATAGACCACAGTCATATTTATTACATTTATTAGCTTTATATATATATATATATATATACACACACTAAAGATGTCTGTTGATTTTTCCAATATCTAGTCTTATCATTTAACAAGACATCAGCGAGGTAAGTGTTTCACTGACCTGTGTCAAAGCTCTGTGTTCTCCAGTGGCAAAATCGAGGTGGTTTAGAGGGAAAAACAAAGAGCAGGGCAGCTACAAACACCGCCACAGTGGCATCTGTCACAAACCTGCACAGAGGTGAGCCATGAGGTTGAATGAGGAAAGGGTTAAAGACCACAACAACAGGTGATTCATTTTTACCTAAGGTTGTGTTTTAGGTCTCTAGCTCTTGTGAGAATAGGCTTGCATTGCTGTTATGTTACGATATAGAGAAAGAGATTCTTCAAAGTAATATAATAATTTTCAAACATGTATTCGCTCATGAACTTTAAGAATGTTTGTGTGCTTTCTGTTCTCTTTTGGGTTAGACCTTTCACCCAGAGAGAATCTCAGTGTTTTCACAGTTTTAAATCCTCAATCTCTTTGCATGTGATCATCATCAGGAAATGTACACAAATGCTGTTTGCAATGTGAAGAAACTCCATTCACATTTTTGCTGGACATTCGACCTACCAAATAGGAACACGCCACAACTGATAACAGGAGAACACGTTGTTTGTGTTAAGCAATGGTTCAATCTGTATGTTACATCGATAGTTGAAATTTCTATTATTTTGTTCAGTTTTAGAGGCATTTTACCCATAGACCTGAGGTCATTCTATTAATGTTTTCTCAACATTATGTCTATTTTGTCAAATTTTTATAAAGTCTTTGAAAAAATATATATTTTTGAGGATATTTGAGGTGATATATTTATCTGATATTTCATTTCATGGTGACATTTTGCATTAAATATATTTGCCTTTCATTACAACCAGCAATAAGTAGGGTTTGAAACAAATCAAGCCACGTTTTAAAGTGATGCTACTTTGCAAAACAAAATGAGAATATTATGTTTAACAAAACAAAACATTTAATGTAATTTTACAGCAAAATACTGTTAAATGTACTGTTTAATTAAATTATTTATTTATTGGAAGTGAAAAAGAACAAATCTTATCATTTACAATGAAAAAAAAAATTACATTTATATTCCCAGAGTGCAGGGTTTTATGTGAAATATTATGTTATTAAATTAATGTTTATTGCATTATTTTAGTGTCATGTTTGTTATGATGTTTTGTATATGTGTGCATGACACTATGCACCTTATATTAGTTTTCCCTTCAGCTTGTGAAAAAGCTATTTGTGATGGGCTTTCATTCTACATTTGGCTTTCTCATTACAATATTACATTCTAAACAAAATACAACACAGATTTTAGTACTTCAGGATGTCGGTGTATTAACATTATTAGTTAATGAAATATACTTTTTTTTTACTGTAAATTTAAGTTCATTATGTAAAACCTAAAATGTTGCTACCATATTTTTATGGTAAATTTCCGGCAACCACAGATGTTGTTTATTTATCGTAAATTTCACAGATTTGTTTTTAAAGTATACAGTGTTGTGGATGGTTGCCAGGGAGTTGCTATGCAGCTGCTGAGGTGTTCTTACTCTTTTTCCTTCGCATGCTACTATAAGAACTCTCTGGTGTTTTTAACCATTTTAGGTGGAAACTATAAGCCTGATAAGTAATAACGCACCTTTCCTCAACAAACCGCATGATTAGGGTACAGTATCATTAACGTTTGTAGTACAACCTACTCAGTATAAACAATTGTATTAGTGACACGTGCCTTAGCAAAAACACCACTAAAACTGATTCTCTGTCTCATTAATGTTGGTGTTTTCATCCTTACTCTTTTTCAGCATTGAAAAAGTGTGTCGCCCAGCCATCCACAAAGCCTGGATCACGAGTGAACCAAAGCACCACCAGGAGGACGAAGAGGGCAAGGACACTCAGCTCCCCAAAGGTCATGGGACCAAGTCTCCTGTGCTCCTCTTTGATTACATTATAGGCAGCAATCTCCTTCTCTGTCTTCACCATTCCACAGCCGCATGTCTTTCTGAAGCTTAAGTTACAAATTAAATGTATATTATATGGTGGTATAGGCGTATATAATGCAGTTGAGTTTGATTCATTAGGAAAGAACTCTCACTTTACACCCAGGAACACAATCTGTAGCCACAGCCAGGCCAGTGTGAGCATGATGATCATGTTGGGGAAGGCAAATCCAAACCATGATGCAAAGTTTATGATGTCAGGGTTGTCTGGGAACAGTCTGTGACAAACAAATGTTGATTTAATATGCTAATACAAAAGTAAGCAAAAGGTACATTCTTGTGCATTACGGTACATTTCTCTCATGCTTAGGAGAAAAACTGTAATGTAAGGTACCTACTGGCTCATCTGTCCCATAAGAACAAGGTTTGGTCCCGTGCCTGTGAGCGTGGCTGTCCCACCAATGCTAGCTGCATAGCACACGCATAACGTCAGGCCTTTACACATCTTTAATTTTTCCTCTGCATCTCGAGAATTCTCTTCCATGTCAAATTCCATTGAGAAGCTGTGGCCATTCAGAGCCACTGTGTACAATAAAACGGAAATTGTTTTTCTTTCCATTAGAAGTGTTATATAGTTTTGCTACATGCATGGCATATTATAAAACTTGAGACCTCACAACCAGCCTGCATAAAACATAAAAATGCCATTAGACAGCCTTAAACCATAGTGTTAAATATGTTTAAATGATACCAATAAACTGATATAACCAAAAATAATACCCTAAAATACAAACCTAAAATACTAAAAATAAAAACTAAACCAACTGAGACCATGAACAACTAAACTAAACTTTAACAATGAGAGTAAAAATGAAAACTAAACTAAATCAAAAAGACAAAATGGAAATAAAATAGATATAAATATTAAAAGTAAATGTTGTAAAATGGAAAACTCATTTTATTGCAGTTATTCAGTTATCAAGGAAACATTTTATTTTATTTTATGTAGTTTAACTTGATGTACTGCATTAAAATAAAAAAACAAAAATGAAATAATGAACAACTCTGTCTAACTCTAAAAATCTATATAGTAATTTAAAAAAAATGAATAAAAAAGACTAAAACCAACAACAAAAAACGTACTCGGTTACTAACATAACCTCGGTTCCCTGAGATACGAGAACGAGTACTGCGTCTTGCTAGATGCATATGGGAAAAAGCCTTTTTTTCTCCTGAACTGAAGCATTTTTTCATTCACGCAGTGAAACTGCACGGCCATTGGTTCGTGCAGTGTATTAAAAACGAACCAATGGCTAGGCAGCGGAGCTGCACAAGCCTATGATGACGAAGCCCGCCAAAGCCTGCCAGAATGGGCGGGGCATCTGGCTATATAAGCGGGCACCAAGGTTACAAAGGTTACTCAGGGAACCAAGGTTACGTTAGTAACCGAGTACGTTCCCTTTCGATACTACACTCATACTGCATCTTGCAAGACGCATATGGGAACACAGTACAATCACGCCGTGCTAATGTAGTGAAACGACTAAAAGTTTCAAACTTCCATAAACAACCAATGCCCATAGAGAAGTTAACAACAACCCAAGGCTAAGACGGGCTGAGCTTCCTGAGGTCACATCCAGCCTGGTTAATCGTTCCAGAGTACTCCTGTAACTTCGACACCCAGGGGTTGAGAGCTAAAAGGTGAGCTAATGCCAGAGAGCTTCAGCGTGATACGGCCAAGGGCTCTCTGTCAGATCTGTTTACGCAGCACATGTTACTTCAAGCGGAAAGGACCCTGGCCTGCAAGGCCGGGATTTCCAGGTTATAAAACCTTGCGAATGTGGACGGCGAGGCCCAGCCAGCCACCTCCCAAATATCCGCAATGGACACGCCACTGGGCCATGCCCAAGACGAGGCGATGCCTCTAGTCGAGTGGGCCCGTACTCCAATGGGGCATTGAAGGCCCAAATCCCTGGTCTTTGAGAAATAAATTGGGCAGTGAGAGTTGTCTTCTGAGGTGAAGAGGTCCATCTCCCCCACCGAAGATCTCCCAGATCCTCTGAACCGTCTGCGGATGGAGCGTCCACTCCCTTGAGGGGACTTTTCTCCTTGATAGCATGTCCACTCCTTGGTTTAATTTGCCCGGTACATGCGCTTCTCTCAGCAAGCGCAGGTTGAGTTGAGCCCATTCCAGGAAGCGCTCTACCAGAGTGAAGAGACACTTCGAGGAGAGGCCTCCCTGGCGATTTATGTAGGACACCACAGACATGTTGTTTGATCGGATTAGCACATGGTGTCCTTTTAGGACTGGCAGGAAGAACCGACAGGCTCGACATACTGCTGGCATTTCCAGGCAGTTGATGTGGAAGCCTTTTTCCGCTTTCAACCAGTGGCCAAAAGTAGGTATGCCCTTGCACAGCGCCCCCCAACCTGAGTTGGAGGCGTCTGTCATGACAACTGTCCTTCTGCAAACCATCCCCATGACCATGCCCTGTTCCATCCAGCGGGAGTTCTTCCAGGGGGCCAGGGCTGTTACACAGGCCTGACTCACCCTGATTTGCAGGCGTCCGTGACGCTACGCATAGGATGGAACCAGTGGTTTCAACTAGCGCTGAAGAGGGCGCATATGAAGCAGACCCAACTGTAGCACTGGTGATGCTGCCACCATGAGGCCCAGCATCCTCTGAAACGCTTTGAGAGGGTGAGTGGAACCAATCTCGCAGGAGGTCGCCAGCCTCCGTATGGCCAGAGCTTGTTCCAGCGAGACTACAGCTCTCATTTGGGCTGAATCGAAAATTGTTCCTAGGAACGATATTCGCTGGCTGGGGAACAACGTGCTCTTGGCAAAATTGACCCTGAGTCCCAGGTACTCCAAGTGGCTGAGGAGGAGGTTCCTGTGTGATATTAATTCTGTCTCCGACTGGGCCAGAACAAGCCAGTCGTCGAGGTAATTCTCAGAGGAGAGAGAGCCGTGTCCATGCACTTTGTAAAAGTGAGGGGGGCCATGGACAGCCCGAAGGGAAGGACCGTGTATTGATAAGCCACTCCCTCGAACGTGAATCTCAAGAATCGCCTGTGACGGGAGGCTATCTGGATGTGAAAGTATGCATCCTTCAGGTCCAGAGAAAAGAACCAGTCCCCTGAGCGAATTTGCGCAATAATCTGTTTCAGTGTAATCATCCTGAACGACCTTTTCATGAGGGCGTGATTCAGGTGTCTGAGATCGAGGATGGGCCGGAGGCCACCATCTTTTTTGGGGACAAGGAAGTAGTGGCTGTAGAAGCCTGACTCGCTCTGGGCTGGAGGAGCCATTTCCACGGCTCCTTTTGCCAGCAGATTCATCACCTCTTAGCGCAAGATGTGTGCGTCCTTGCTTTGCAATGAGGTGGGGACCACGCGGCTGAAGTGCGGTGGTCTTCGAGCGAATTGGCCTGACGATGCCCCGGCAGGAACCACTCATCCAGATGGCTGCGGGAGGGCTCCTCTGGCGGAGACCACTCGAAACCCAGCTCTTCAACCACTTTGGAAAAGATACGGAGAAGCTCGGCATCCATCCCATCTTTGGTGGCGCCGGGCGCGGACGATGTCAAGGGGGTGGGGTCAGTCACCGAGCCCAACAGCTCCTCTGCATCCGATGCTGCCAATGACATGCTGTCATCAAGCAGCTCGTCCTCACTTCCCCCAAGCAGGAAACGCATTTCGTGTGGCTGTCATCGGCATGCAGGGTAGACCCGCATGAACCGCAGTAACGGCGTGGCATTTGCAACAACGCCAATCTCTTTTAGTAGCTCTTTTAGTATTGCCGGATGGCGGCAGGGGAAACGGACCAGAACTGCTGCGTCGTTGAAGCGGGAGAAGCAGGTCAGCCGTACTGAGAGGTCCCGATTCCAGCTGCGAAGGCGTGTCAACGGCGAGCGGCTTCGGATCAGCGTAGAAACGTAGAGTTATCACTGAAGGAGAAGAAATCTGAGAATCCTGTGGCGAACGCCCACTTATATAGCCAGATGCCCCGCCCATTCTGGCGGGCTTTGGCGGGCTTCGTCACCATTGGCTCGTGCAGCTCTGCTGTCTAGCCATCGGTTCGTTTTTAATACACTGCACGAACCAATGGCCGTGCAGTTTCACTGTGTGAATGAAAAAAGACTTCTGTTCAGGAGAATAAAGGCTTTTTCCCATATGCGTCTAGAAAAACGCAGTACGAGTGTAGTATCGAAAGGGAACTAAAGTTTAATATTAAGTTTAATATATTAAAATAATAAAATTATACATATATAATGATAAAAACCCTCTCAATGACACTAAAATAACACTGAACTACAACTCTGCTACAGATGAAATGCACATACGATTTTCATTACTGATGTCTGAACTGGATGATCATATATATTCAGGATATGTTAAGACTATCCCTATTCACTCAACTAAAGGCATCCTCCATCAGACCTTTTTTTCTCACCCTGCATGTCAGGTTGTTTCTCAGTGTTTTTCTCATCAATCTCTGGAGTGGAGGCCTGCTCTTGTTCTGCTCTGTTGTTGAGCTGCTCGAGCACAGCTTGAACGATGGGCACCATCATGGCTGTTGTAGCCGTGTTACTGATCCACATGGAGAGGAAGGCCGTTACACCCATGAAGCCCAACATCAGCCTGCAGAAAGGCAGAAGAGATACCGCTGATACCGCTGTTAACAATGAGAAGATTCCCAGTAGATTTTAAATGCTTACAGAGCAGGTCGTACGCCTACAATGAGTAATACTCGGAGTGCAATTCTCTTGTGTAGGTTCCAGTGCTCGACAGCTACAGCCACCATCAGTCCACCCAGAAACAGCATGTTGGTATCCTTCAGGTACTGCATACACACCTGTCATACAGACATCGGATATTTGAGATACAAAGTTTGAGTTACACACATAATGAATGCAGAAAATTTAATTGAGTGGTGTATAGTTAAAAAGAAAAGACTGAGAATAACATAACATGCCATGAACATATTTTAAAGCAGGAGAAATTGACGGAAGTAATGTCAGATATACTAATAGGATGACTTTGAACCTACATCTACATATAGGACTTAAAACCTACATCTTTGGACTCCATGATTCTGAAGAGAGGAAAGAGTACAACTGGCAGGAGAGCAGTGACAGCCAGTGGCAGCACTTCGGTACACCAGTACACTGCCATTAGTGCAACAACATACGCACATGCAGCCTCCTGCAGATGAAAAACAAGAGTGTGTCATATCAATATATACATTACCATTTAAAAGTTTGGGGTCAATAAATATATAGTTTGGTTCTGCAAGGATTCAAGTGATCAAAAGAGACAGTAAATACATTTATAATGTCACAAAAGATTTATAATTTAAATAATGTTGCTTGGTTTCTGCAAAAATATTAAGCAGCATAACCATTTTCAACATTGACAATAATAAGAAATGTTTCTTTAGATGATGAATGGATGGATGGATGGATGGACACATACATATCTACACCATGTTTAATAAATATAATTTTCTGAACCACAATGGAACAACATTTCAATTCCCAGCATTTATTATCTGTGAATTCCATTTCTTAGAATAAAAAATCCAGCAAATTCCTTATTACGATTCTTTTTTGTGTGTGTGGTGTGTTAATTTGTTAATTGAAAGAGACCAAATTCTTCATTTGTGAATTTTGCCCAACTCTGTGGCATTGCAAGTTATTATAAACGGTACATTTTACACAGTTAACTCAAAATATGTCAAATTCTTATGAGAAATAAAACAGGGGTTTACAAACTGGGGTCCAGGGAAAAGTTCAAAGAAAATGTTAAACACCTAAATTTGCTGAATTTGACACAGTGTTTATGTGTTTGTAATATCATGCATATAATATCAGCTGTCTGTATTTATATTTTAAGGTGGAAGTCCCTCGCAATGGAATCATCATATTTGGGAATCCTTGGTATCCAGAGAGAGAGAAAAAACACACCATGGAATCGGGACCTTACCTAAACACTGTTAAACTTCCATCTTAGCAACTTAAAATTGTAATATGTAACTGTAGGCATGTTTTGTTTTATGTATTATCGTTGGATGTACTTGAATTTTATCCTCTCACCTAAGACAAGCATAAGGTACAAAGTTCCTTTTGTTATTCAGTCACTCAGAAACACTCTAAATCACAAAACGGCAAAAACAAAATATCTGATAACATTCAGACATTTGTGTCAAAATAATGCCATAAAAATCTTAACACATCACACATTGTTATCTTGATTGTAATTATGTAATATTGCTAGCGGCTATATGATGTGACAAACAGTGGTCTACTGTCTAGATGACCGGCACCTGCAACCAGAGTCTTTTTTTTGGGGGGGTGTTTTTGTACAAAATATATAATTTTTAATAAATAACTGAATCAGGTTGGCCGATTATATTGTTTCTATACGATTACGATCTTTGGTTTTATTATTTGGCACCACGAAAAAAAAAACTTTGTGACAACAAAGGGTTAAAAAAAAATAGGGCATTGCGTGTGTTTTTGTGGTGAAGGAATGTGTCGCCCCGATGCATGGTCTCGTACCCATGCTTGTTCTGCAAGATACAGAGAAATCCGGCTGAAAGAACCTCGAAAGATGCGTAAAATGTTCAACTCTGAGTCTTTCTCGACTCTCTTTGACACTTTTTAGACACACTTGACTGTCAAATCACTCACTGGCCTGTGGGAACGACACAGCACTCGTAAAAGTATTTATGGAGCTTAAGCTTTTCAGTTAGGCACAATTATTGCCTATTTAAAACATTTTACATGCATCATAAAATTAGACTTACCTTTGTTCCAATGACAAGTGGCAAAGGAAGGAGAAGAAACGGGGTGCAAAAGAGAATCAGTCCATTTTTCATCCACCATACATGTTTCAGTATATGTGAAACCATAATTTTTGGCTTATGATAATTTAACAAAGAAAAGTCCAAAACGGCTGGAAACTGCGCAAAACTTGTATGTTCTGATCTGTGGACAGTGTTTGGGCTCGCGCTCTCTCTCTCTCTCTCTCTCTCTCTCTCTCTCTCACACACACACACACACACACACACACACACACACTCACCTACTCAGTGTCGCACACATTGGAACGCATAATTAAGCGCGTGCAAGATTTGTACCTTGCCATTTTTAAATATTAACCTGTGAATTTCATCACCAAAGATTTGTTAGCATAACTTACTTATCACTTTAATGTATTTGCTTTTTGGAAATTATTTTTTTCATAGTAGGCCACTGACTAACAATTTATAGAGTAGCCCAATCTTGGATTGTCCTAATAACTCATTTAAAATGTTACAGGATCTAAATGATTCAATGACTTTCATGAGGGTCAAAGTTTTAAGAGAACTTCTAAGTAATCTTTTTCTGCTCATTTACTTGCAGTATGTAAATAAGTAATGCAATTTAAAATAATTCTTATCTTTTGTCCATGTATGTCAACGGAAATGGTTCAGCAGTCTGTTGCTATGATTACCTCTTAAGGCGCAACTTCTATTCTATTCTATTCTTCCAACTTTAGTAGTTATTGAACTATTGTTTAAAATGCTGTTGATACATATATATACTTTAATGTAAAATAATTTTCAATTTATTTTATGTTATTTTTATTTTTTTATTTTTTTTTCAAATATTTTGTTTTGATTTACTTTGGAAAACACTGATCCAACAGAGTTCGATTTATAGACCTAAACATTTGTCAACATTACAATAAATTATTTTCTTCGAATCCTTTGCAAACCTTAACTTCAAAAAGACTTATTAACCTTTTTAGAGACCTCGTGTATCCTCTAATTCAGGGATTTTCAGCTTTTACCGACTTATGGACACCCTGAGTTAGCCTCTCAATCAACCCAGGGGCCTCCCTACATTTTTTTCTTCTTCTTGATAACACTTTATAATAACGTTTGTTAAGAACATGGACATTAACAGAAATGTAGAATAAGTTCTGTCTTCTCAATGGACCCCTGTAATATAGCTTTGATAGATATCTGTTCGCAGCAGCACAATGTTAAGCACTTCTTCTATCTTGACATCTCCTTTACTGTTCACAAACCCCTAAATTCCTGATTAATAGTTCTCACAAGGGTCTTCAAAAGCAATGGACCAGCACAGCCTGAAGGAACTAGGAAGGTGAGATTGGATGTGGAAGAGCAAGGAGAAGACAACTCTTTTCTGAGTAGAGTTGAATGACAGAGAGATACAGTGGGTACACATTGCTGCCTTTGCTGAAACTCTACACAGAACCAGCAGGGAGCCAGACTCACAGACCTGCTGAGAGACTGACAATAGTTCTCTGTGTGAGGGTGAGGATAAGATTTCCTTAAGTCATCACTGAGTTGTGGGAAATCCTTATGAACCCATGGTTTTGTGTCACAGGTGAACTTTTTGCTGCTGCTAGGCTGTAAAAACAATAAAAAACAGAATAATCAATAACTACATTAAATAAAAGTCATAAAATATTTTTTTTATTTATGATACAATCAAATTGTGTAATAATTTTTTTTTGAAGTGATTAAACTTGACTTTGGACAGCTTTGATTTATTTTCCACTGGTCACAAATGCATACAAGGAAAAAACAAGGACATTTAGTTTTATAGCTTTACAGCATGGAATTGTAAAATATTTAACAGACAATTAAAACAAAAAACACAAAGTACAATGTAATGTCAAAGAAACACAAGTCTCTTTTGGGTTAATGTTGCACGTTTTATAAATTTTTTTTTGCTCATTTGCACAGTTTGTTTGCTCATTCTTCTTGTCAGAATTTGTTCAGGTGGTCTGTACCAGGAATTTTTTATTTTCTAGAATAGAATAGCCTATAAAATGTATTGGTAACACTTTACAATAAGGTTTAATTTGTTAATGTTACGGGGCTGACGAGACGTGAGACGTGCAGATCCATATGCAAAGCTTTATTGAGCAGAGCGGTCAGAAACACAGGCAGGGTCAAACAGTGGCAACCAGGTATATGGCGGGCAAGACACAAGAATAGTGCTAGGGCTAGCGTAGGTCGATGAACGGCAAACAGAATCAGAAGGGGCAAGACTAAGGAAGAAATCCAGGAAACCAGGCGAAAGGCTAAGGCTAAGGCTAAGGCTAAGGCTAAGGCTAAGGCAATGAGGGCTCTGTAGTGTAGCTATCTAAAGATATGCGCCAAACAATACTCGGCAGAGGGAAGGGATCAGAGAGAGTGTTAAATAGTGAGGGAGTGATATGAACCAGCTGGGTGCAATCAGTGTTAACAGCTGTGTGCAATCCGTGCTGAGTGCAATCAGTGCAATGAATGATGGGATATGTAGTCCGGGGTGATGTGCAACAGTGTGTAGTGCGAGAGTCAATGAAATTGGAAAGGGTGACCTCTGATGGCTAGCAGAAGGAAGTTCATGGACCGGATTCGTGACAGTTAACATAGGCTAGGTAACTTGTCAGTTAATACATAGTGACAGTGTAACAAATATATTGCTTATTATTAAAATGTTAGTTTAAGCATTAACTAACACCGACTAATGGGACCTTTTTGTAAAATGTTATCAACATATTTGCAATATATTTTTAGTAGTTGCATAAACTAATAAAATGTAGGCTATATCTAGCAAAGAACGTCTCTTTGGATAAAAGCATCTGTCAAATGCCTAATGTGAGATGTAAAATATTGACAATGTATCAGCATTTTGTATCAACTGCAGCAGTTGTTCACAATTCAGAGCTAAGAAAGTGTATTTTTTAAACTAGAAGAGGAGTCTAGAGTTTGAGGGTTTTACACATATAACCTATATGTTACAGACAAGTAGATTTGTGGAGCAGGATGAAAGAACACTTTCCACAGTATGACTTGTGTACAAGCATATCTGTACCTCGAAAGCCCCCTATGCAGACAGAAGCAGCCTATCTTCTGAACACGTGTTCCCACGTCTTCACGTATCTATTTATTTAGCTGTGGCTCCCCCTAGAGTCGAAAATAGAGAATAACATTTTCAGTGACATTTTACTGTATATATACACACGCACACACACACACACACATAATGTCAAGATTATATTAATTGTAACTCTTGATAAAAGTTAAGAATAATTTACTAAACATGACTGACTTTTTTTGCAGGTTGAGGCCTTGTTTTGGATTAGTATGGTGGCCATTGAATCTAATGGGGCGGGAGTAAGGATTCAAGGTTTTGCGTAGGTGGAGAGCTGGAACAGTACAGGGTACACTGGAAATAAAGTCCATTTAAGGCTTTTGAAACTACTTTCAAACATGATATATTCTAGTAGTACAAATGCTATAGCAGGATATAATAACATCCTAGAAACTTGGCAATAAATGGTTTGTCTCTCCACAGTATTAGATACGTATAATTACACCAAAGTTCATCAAAGTTAGATAGTCAAATAGTCTATTTATATTTTTTCATAATTAAATAGTTTTTGTTTGTTTGTTTATTCTTCATGTTCAGGGTATGTACAGGTAATTCAGTGCAATACCTCGTTTTGTCTGTTAATGCCTTTTCATGTAAATGAAAATATGATTAATTTTTATATTGTTTATTTCCTTGGAACAACAAACAACTGAATTATTGTTTGTACTTTCTTTTTCACATTTATTAGTTTTATTTTTATTTTTAACATAACCTAAATAATATCCGTTTAGGTTACAATTCGTTGGACTTCTTGACCCAGGATCACATATATTAATATTTACATTTAAAAATAAATGGTGACACAAGTCAATGGATGATGAAACATTAACCAACAGCACAGAGTCTGAGAGCATTCTACTCTAGTCATCTGTTCTGGATCTACATGATTCACTCTCCCTTTATTTATCACCTCTTTATTGTCAAAAATTTGGTTAGGTAAGTTTGTATAGCGTTTTTTTTTTTTTTTTGTCAATTACCTGCCTGAATTTTGCATGTAGTGATATGTGGCGTATTCATAAATCATCTGGAATACAGGTATGCATGGCAGAAAATTTCTCGGCTGGGACAGTCAACAGGGAAATGTGAGAGGGAAAAATGTGTTTTTGCATAACAAATTTTACCAAATTAACTCAAATTAATATATTTCTTTCTTTCAGAATTAAAAAGAAGTTGCTCAGTATTTTAAAAACTTTAAAATTAAAATTGTAATAGTTAAATTTTTTCTTGTGCTGACAGATGCAAACAACTGACAGAATTAAACATAAACATTGACACTTTAGTTCTGAATTTTGGAAGCAAATTGAAAATAGTATCAAGTCAAGTTACCTTTATTTATATAGCGCTTTTAACAATACAGATTGTGTCAAAGCAACTGTACAGCATTAATTAGGAAAATATTGTGTCAAAAATGCAAAATGATAATAGTAAACACTCAATTTTCAGTTAAAGGCAGTTCATCATTGAATTTAGTGGTCATCATCCAGCTCAGTTCAGTTTAAATAGTCTCTGTGCAATCAAGTCGACGATATCGCTGGAAATTAAGTGTCCCCAACTAAGCAAGCCAGAGGTGAGGCGACAGCGGCAAGAAACCAAAACTCCATCTGTGACAGAATCTTTTATATTCATATTATTTATATTAATGTAACTTTTATGGGTTGTCAAAAAAGTAAACACAATCTGCCATAAGAAATACTCTAGACATTACACTAGTAGCAAATGTTGGCATCGAAAATAAAAGCAGCAAAATAAACCTGCAAATAGTTACAATGCGATCACAATTTATTAATGCTGCTTTACATGATGAAAATCTAAATGTCAACTTTGTACAGTTAATCTGTAAACATACAAGAAATTACTGGATGCACAAAGTTGTAATGTCAAAAAAACATTAACATTAACTGCTGAACAATAATTATCTAATAACAATAACATAATTTATTAGCCTTAATTTTAGTATTTACTAATACATGTAAAAATAAGTAAAAGTTGTATTTTTTCACAGTAGTTAATGCACAGTGAACTAACATGCATTATTAACTAACATTGACAAAGATTATTAAATATTAAATATATATATATTACATTTTTTTTACAGTATTTATATATTGCAGTTTTTTTTTTTTACAGTATTTTGTGGGTTACTTCACATTGTAGAGGGTGAGATCTGTACTTTTGTACATATTTGGCTGTCCCTCAAGACGAAATCACACACAATGATGTTCTAAAGACATATTGTATAATAACATGGAAAATTACCTGGTTAAGACAATAATTTATATATACTGTATATATATATATATATATTTGAAGCTGTAACGTTAAATTATCTATTTTTTGTGTTCCAGGCCGACAGTAAGAACATGAAGCACTGTCTTATAGTGCTCATAACGCTCTGTTTCTTTAGGTTTGGACTGTTGGTAAGAAACTATGAGATATTACTTTTTTTTCCCCCAAATCTTGCTCATCCACATTGTTTGTTTCAAAAAACATATTTCTAAAAATTGCACAGTCTTTTTATGATCATTTCTGCCACTCTCATTTCAGGCTTCTAATGAAACAGATTATGGCAAAGTGAATTGCAATGATGTCTTAAGCCTGGAAGCTCAGCGAGCAGTTGGTGGTGCAGTGGCTAAACTGGGATTGGCGCTTTTAGAAAAACTACAGCCTGGGTCTGAGCAACCAAACATAATCATATCACCTCTCAGTGTTTCTCTTGCGCTTGCCGAGCTTGCTTTGGGTGAGCATTCTGTGATTAACCATATAGAAGTGTGAATTTATAGCTGTTATGTTTTTATATATGTGTACTTTAATTTTAAATCATTAGGTGCAAAGAACAAGACAGAAGACAAGTTGCTGGAAGTTCTTAAGGCAAAAGAGCTGCCCAATTTTCATGAAACCTTAAGCTGTCTCCAAGAACAACTAACTGCCAAGGCTGTCAAGATGGCATCTCGTCTCTACCTCATACCAGGTAAGGAACTGATGGCATTTTGTTTGATCATGGTAAACCTGACATAACTGGAAGATCCTTTTGAGCTTGAGGTTCAGCACGATTTAACCATTTGTTGACTTACGTTAAATGTTAGTTTTGTTGGGATTACTTGTGCTTTTTTGTAGATTTTGTAGTTGCTTTTGTCTTTGTGAAGATGTTAGGGTGAACCAGGACTTTGCGGACAGAGCTCTGAACCTGTACAAATCTGAACCTGCACATCTGACCTCCATTGAGGAAGTCAATCGTTGGGTGGAGGAATCCACCAAAGGTCACATAACCAACTTTATGTCCAGTCTTCCACCAAATGTTATTCTAATGCTGATTAACACCATTTATTTTAAAGGTTGGTCTGCATTTCAGCTGTAATAATTTAAATAAGACAAACTTTTTACTTTGAAAATAACATATTATAAACCATTTATTTGAAAATAATGAGTAAGATGTCTACTCACATGTATTCAAGGTTTAAGGAAAATATATTATTTTTTACCTTGATGTTTTAAATTTTAGAATTAAAATTGTAATTATATTTTGGAGGATGTAAATTTTTTTGTGTGTGTGATTTAATTGTCCTCATACCAGGGGTGCCAGTCTGGGCCCCATTAATTCCTGAAAAGCATACTGACTCGGGCCCAAATAATCACTGAGGGGGAGGGGTGTTTGCATTGTGCCCTCTCTCTGATCATGGACTTTGGAATCATCCTAACCTTCTGAAATTCTTGAAAAAAAAAAACTTAAGTAGTTTTATAATATTATCATTAATCGTTGTTATTACTCCCAACATCCTATGAGTGTTTGAATGAATACTTCACTATATTTGTGAAAACAATACTTATTACTTATTATTAAAAATGTTACATTTAAAAACTATTAAACTAAAAAATATTTTTTAAATGTGAAAATAAAGATGGTTACACCACACAACATTTTACAGTCATTCAAATTTTACTTTTTAAAAGACCACGTAAAACAATTTCCAAGAACTTGACAGATGTTTTCATTTATATTTTTCCTTTTGTATATACAGGTGCATCTCAATAAATTAGAATGTCGTGGAAAAGTTCATTTATTTCAGTAATTCAACTCAAATTGTGAAACTTGTGTATTAAATAAATTCAATGCACACAGACTGAAGTAGTTTAAGTCTTTGGTTCTTTTAATTGTGATGATTTTGGCTCACATTTAACAAAAACCCACCAATTCACTATCTCAACAAATTAGAATATGGGGACATGCCAATCAGCTAATCAACTCAAAACACCTGCAAAGGTTTCCTGAGCCTTCAAAATGGTCTCTCAGTATGGTTCACTAGGCTACACAATCATGGGGAAGACTGCTGATCTGACAGTTGTCCAGAAGACAATCATTGACACCCTTCACAAGGAGGGTAAGCCACAAACATTCACTGCCAAAGAAGCTGGCTGTTCACAGAGTGCTGTATCCAAGCATGTTAACAGAAAGTTGAGTGGAAGGAAAAAGTGTGGAAGAAAAAAGATGCAAAACCAACCGAGAAAACCGCAGCCTTATGAGGATTGTCAAGCAAAATCGATTCAAGAATTTGAGTGAACTTCACAAGGAATGGACTGAGGCTGGGGTCAAGGCATCAAGAGCCACCGCACACAGACGTGTCAAGGAATTTGGCTACAGTTGTCGTATTCCTGTTGTTAAGCCACTCCTGAAGCACAGACAACGTCAGAGGCGTCTTACCTTGGCTACGGAGAAGAAGAAGAAGAACTGGACGGTCGCCCAATGGTCCAAAGTCCTCTTTTCAGATGAGAGCAAGTTTTGTATTTCATTTGGAAACCAAGGTCCTAGAGTCTGGAGGAAGGGTGGAGAAGCTCATAGCCCAAGTTGCTTGAAGTCCAGTGTTAAGTTTCCACAGTCTGTGATGATTTGGGGTGCAATGTCATCTGCTGGTGTTGGTCCATTTTGTTTTTTGAAAACCAACGTCACTGCACCTGTTTACCAAGAAATTTTGGAGCACTTTATGCTTCCTTCTGCTGACCAGCTTTTTGAAGATACTGATTTCATTTTCCAGCAGGACTTGGCACCTGCTCACACTGCCAAAAGCACCAAAAGCTGGTTCAATGACCATGGTGTTGGTGTGCTTGACTGGACAGCAAACTCACCAGACCTGTATTGTCAAGAGGAAAATGAGAAACAAGAGACCAAAAATGCAGATGAGCTGAAGGCCACTGTCAAAGAAACCTGGGCTTCCATACCACCTCAGCAGTGCCACAAACTGATCACCTCCATGCCACGCCGAATTGAGGCAGTAATTAAAGCAAAAGGAGCCCCTACCAAGTATTGAGTACATGTACAGTAAATGAACATACTTTCCAGAAGGCCAACAATTCACAAAAAAATATATTTTATTGGTCTTATGAAGTATTCTAATTTGTTGAGATAGTGAATTGGTGGGTTTTTGTTAAATGTGAGCCAAAATCATCACAATTAAAAGAACCAAAGATCTAAACTACTTCAGTCTGTGTGCATTGAATTTATTTAATACACGAGTTTCACAATTTGAGTTGAATTACTGAAATAAATGAACTTTTCCATGACATTCTAATTTATTGAGATGCACCTATAGTGGATACTTTTATTATTCACTGACCCCATAAATTAAAAAGTAGTAAGTGGAAATGTAAATAAGCAAATAAACACATCCCTTCTTAGGTGAGTGGCAATCCCGATTTGATTCCAAGTTCACTGTAAAGGATATTTTCTACATTGACAAAAAAACCTCTGTGAAAGTGGACATGATGATGGGATCCAAATATCCACTCAGCATGTTTGTAGATAGAAAAGATGGCACTCAGGTAATCTAGCTGTTTTGTAGTATAATTAATCATAATTTTACAATTTACCCCAAAGCCTGTAAATGTTGATTCGGTTTGATGTTCTTCCATATGGCCCTTAGGTTGCAAGATTCCCTTTTCAAGGAAATGTGAGTCTTCTGGTGGTAATGCCTGTGCCAGCACATGGAAATCTGTCAAACGCTGCTGCCAAGCTCAACATATCGGACATGTATGAGCATTTTCAAAGCGAGAAGTCCATGCATGTTAAACTACCTAAATTCAAATTACAGTACAAGCAGGATCTGCGACAAGCACTCACAAGCATGGGTGAGATTAAACAAAAAAAGTTTCTACATCTACATCTCAATTGACTTTTGGCTGTGAATCCCATCATGTGATGATAATCTGCCCTTATAAGGGGGTGTCCTTTGGTACACATGAAGTTGATCAATGCTGTTGTGAAGTGAGAGTTAATAATTCAGTAAAACAGAACTGTCACACATTCTCATCTCTTTCATTCAGGTCTGGGCTTGCTGTTTACTGGGCCTGATTTATCCAGAATCGCACCAGGCCCGTTAGAGGTTTCAGGCGTACAACACGCCTCAAGCATGGAGCTGAGTGAGGAGGGGGCCGAGGCTTCAGCCGCAACCTCTGTTACTCTTGTGCGCACCATTCCTACTTTTGCGGTCAACATGCCATTCATCTTCGCACTGGTGGATGATGCCTCTTACATGCCTCTCTTCCTGGGTATGGTCACCAACCCCAACCCTGGAGCGACAACGGAACAAAGTGATGACCCAACAACTGAAACTGAAAGCATCATGACACCAAGCAAAGTGTCCCAGAATGATGGGACACTGAATGATAGTCCACATATGGAAAACATGCTAAGTTACATGTTGAATATGTGGAAGGAAACAGTTCCTCAGCAGTTCCTCAGACATCAGAAGATGGAGGATGGGAACTAAAAGGAGAAGATGGATCCATCCATATTACAGTACATATTTTGCCCAATTAAAATGTAGTGTTTTGATGTTCATGGCCTGCCATGCATGGACGTCATATTTAGTTTGACATGAATGAGGCTGTTCAATGGCATCTACCCTGACTAAAGTTTATGTAACGGATAATGTTCAGTCAGCTGGTTACTATTGCAAATTAATTTTGCAATAATAATTGGTCGACTATACATTTTTCTCAGGTATTACACAGCTACTTGCCAAATAAATAAATATGTGGACATGAAAAAAGTTATTTGAGTAGAAATGATTTTATAGTGTCATAATGCTGAAGAAGGTTAGCATTTATTTAAACATATTTGACTACTGAATGCCACAACTGACTAATCAGAATCAACCCAGGTAGTCAGCGCAATCGGGCCAATTGCGGCTGAGTGTCGGCTCACTCAGCTGTGTTCTGGCAGCGGCTCACCAAAAGTGAGCCAGCTCTGGCCCAGTAATGGTTGCCAGATTTGGCTAGGCTTTGGATGTGCAGATCTGGTCCGATTTGCACTGAGACACGGCACATTTAGCCACATTCGGCCCGATTACGGACCATAAGGGCTGGTCTGATTTTGGGTGAGATATGGGCATGCAGACCCGGACCAGTTTAGGTTGAGTGCTGGTGGTGAGTTTCCAGTTACAATGTAAATAGTAAATAGTATGTAGCAGTGACACTTAAACTTAAACATAATATCTTTTACCTGCCCATGTTATTTTTTGTGTATTTATTTTAATTCCTATTAATATTTTTTTTCCCTTTTATCCAACATTCTCGTTTTTTCTTTAACTACTTTTGGAAATTAATGATTTAATTCATATAATGAAACAAGCTTAAAGTGGTTAAGGGAACTTTAACATTTTTTTGCTATATGCATGAGTTTCAAGACATGCGCACTAGCTTTGACATCTAATGACAAAACCTGACGGGCTTTTTGTGCTGCTAATTGCCAGAAGACCAGAAGAACTTGCTACCCTTGTGAGTAAACATTTGATAATCTAACATATAATATAATTTTAATAAACCATTCTACACATATAATATCGAAATAACGTTTATTTATAATGAAGCTATAATTGTGAGTTCGCTGACATAGTGCTAGAGTTTAGCTCCAACCATAATCAAGCACACGTGATCCAGCTAATCAAGGTCTTCAGGATTACTAGAAACTTCCAAGCAGGTGTGAGTTGGAGCTGGTTGGAACTAAGCTGCGCAGAGCTGCGGCCCTCCAAGAATTGAGTTTGACACCACTGTATTGCGACTGGTCTTTTTTTGTCTTTTTCAATCAGTGCAAAGAAATGCAAGTACTTGCAGTGCATCAGATGGAGAGATTTAAACGTTCATCAAAAGATGGCTGCTGCTCACTTTGAACAGAGATGTGGGAAGAAAAGAGCGGCCCGAATGCAAACAAATTCTTCCAAAGGTATGCTCCAAATGTTTACATTTACCAGAGTTACCATTCATGTTATCAGTCTGAGATTGTCTGAATAATCATACGTGTCATTGTCTGTTCCCCTTTTTGTATCTCTTTCTGTCAATCTGTCCCTCTTCTAGGGTACGCTTACTTGAGGAATCTCCTGGATTTTTTATTTTTTTCAAATAAATTCTAATATCACTCATATTTTCATTGTGTCATTTTTGTAGCAGTAGTTAACACTCGCTTGAGATCAAAAGCAAGCAAGCAGAGTGTGGAAGTCTTTCAGCCTTTTAGGGTGTACGCTCTTGAGGAAGCTCCTGGATTTTTATTTTTATTTTCAAATAAATTCTAATATCACTCATATTTTCATTGTGTCATTTTTATACTTGGGAAGGAGCACATATGGATGTTATGGGGTAATTCATGGGGTTGGTGGGGATGCCTTGAAAAGAAATGGTGTAAAGGCCAAACCCTTAATCTTTGTAAAGGTGACATATTTAGTTGACATGCATAAGTACATGTAGACTTAACAAGGACACTGTAAAATATGCATTTTATTTTAGTTGGAAGTAGATGCTATCTTAAGGATTTTAAGGTAACAATGTAATTTTGTGGAAAAACTAATTATTCAAAGCTCTGGTTTTATATATAAACTGGAAGGAGTTTTTATACACATATTTTAGGAGTTGTAATTCTGTGTGAGTAAGTGTAAGTATATATATATATATATACAGTGCACAGCATAAATGAGTACACCCCCTCTGAATAAATATAAAAGATGTATTTTCTTAATGATCACTAATATAATTAATGGAAAGATGGCAAAATTGAAACATATTAAACATATACTTAATAAAAACAAAATATATGCCAATATTTTCTGTAAGATACGTAAATTAGCCAATTTTGTTTGAATGAAGGATTGCAGAAACGAGTACACCCTAGATTCAATTCAGAAAATGTATAATATTCTAGTACTTCGTATGTCCTCCAGAGCTTAAAGTATACTGCTCTTACCCTTCTGGGCACTGAGAGTTCATGACAAATTTTCACATCTGTGCTGTTTAACTCCTGGAGGACGACCTGTTGGTGCAACTTCTGCTATATTTTCACACTTAAAACAATAATTTGGTATTCCTCTTGTACCATTGTCCTCTTTTATGTTAAGAAATAAGTCACCTGGCAGTTCTCTCCCAAGTGGTTGCACTGCTGCCAGCATTAAGTCTGAGTATGATTCAGTGGGCTATATAACACTTTTAATTGTCAGGAAATTACTTGTCTTTAAAAGTTTGGTTCAATATACTTACCTGTTGATCAAAAATAGCCTTAAACCTATACACTGTTTTTTATTTTTTTTATTTAGTAACTTTCAGGAGGGTGTACTCATTTTTACAACACAACAGTTTATCACTTTGATAAGAAAATCTGATTTTGCTGAATAATTTTGACATTCTTCTTTAGTAATTGATCAAGCAGGCTTTTACATTACATTACATTACATCTCCAAAGAACCCTAACATGTCTTCTAAGTAAAGAGTAATTGTTGAATTTGTTAAGTTTTAAAGGGGGTGTACTCATTTATGCTGTGCACTGTGTATATATATATATATATATATATATACAATCACACCAACCAAAATGGTACTCTTAGCCAGTACTGGCCCGAGTCTGGATACTGAAACTGAGCCAACACCACCAGCATTGGGCCACAATCACGCCAACCAAAATAGTACTTTAATGGGGAGGTTTGCTCAGCTCATCTCTACAGAATCCCCCACAGCTGCTCAAGAGTGTTAAGATTGAGTGAAATACATGTCCACTGAAGGATTTTCACCTTGGGAGAATGAATATATTCATTGTCATGCTGAGAAAATGCCCAATAATGCAGGGAATGAGGGAAGGGTAGCATCTTCTGTTTACAGATGGCGCTTTTCCACTGCGTGGTACGACTCGGCTCGGCACAGCTCAGTACGGCACGGTTCGGCTCGGCACGGGTTGCGGTTCCACTGCAGTTCAGTACCGCTTTAGAGTGGGCGTGATTATTCACGTGTTGTTTATAGTTGCGCCGCCTCTACTGCCGCGACTGCTGAAAAACTTTTGTCATTCTGCCTCGTCCCATCAAGCTTTTGCTGGATCCGCTCCTCTGCTATCAACTAGAGGAACGTCTGTATTTCCTCAACAGACAGCTAAAACAGCCACTTTTTGGTTGTTAAAAAAGGTGCGCTCGTTCAAAACAGTTGCGTTCGATCATTCGCTGGCTGTGCTGATTTAAATCTAGCGGTTTTGTTGTGTTTGTGTCGCAAGTTCAGTGACGCAGGTAGTAACGATTCTCTCCGGCCAATCCGTGATCAGCAGAGTTTACACGTCACGTTTTAGTAACGGTACGGTTCACTTGGAACCTCAACCGAGGTGGTACAAAAAAAGTACCAGGTACCAGGTACTGTACCCAGTGGAAAACCCCCCAAAAGTGAACCGTACCGAGCCATACCATGCAGTGGAAAAGCGCCATTAGCGAGTACTGGCCCGAGTTTGGGTACTGAAACTGAGCCGGCATTGGGCCACTCGTCGGTGTGATTGTGGCCCAATGCTGTTGGTGTTGGCCCAGTTTCAGTACCCAGACTTGGGCCAGTACTGGCTAAGTGTTTCATTACTCGTCGGTGTGATTGTGGCCCAATGCTGGTGGTGTTGGCCCAGTTTCAGTACCCAGACTCGGGCCAGTACTGGCTAAGTGTTTCATTACTCGTCGGTGTGATTGTGGCCCAATGCTGGTGGTGTTGGCCCAGTTTCAGTACCCAGACTCGGGCCAGTACTGGCTAAGTGTTTTATCTCTCGTCAGTGTGATTGTGGCCCAATGCCGGTGGTGTTAACTCGGTACTGGCCCGAGTCTGGGTACTAAAACTGATCAGCTAAGTGTTTTATTTTGGCAGCCGGACTCGGGCCAGTGTATTTGGGCCAATTCTGGGGTCGTCATGTGACACACAGCAGCCACAACAGCACTTATGTTTTATTTATTTTTTCCTTTTTATTCTAAACAACCCATAAACGTATTAACTATATCATGAAATATCTTGATTCTCACTGTAACCCTTGATATTTCTATCCTGTTTTACTTAGTCTCATTTTTTTAAAACCTGGTACTGCCCCTTTAAGAGGTTGGGTAGTTAATGCGGGGAGAGAGTGCACTGCAATAGCGCGCAGAGTGAATGTGCATGAAGCACGGACAAAACGCAGAGCGTGTGAGTAATTTTGACTATGCTGATTAAAATAAGCATTTATGTTGCAAATTGTCTTTGAATAGCTGGTTTATTGTTTATATGTCAGCTGGGAGGTTGAATTTGAAATACTGTGGAAGAGAAGTCGAAGACTTATTGCTTTCCGTGACTTTTCTGAGACATTCTGGTGAGTGTATTCTGCTTGTAACAAAATATTTTGTTGTCATTGTGTTATTATTTGAGCAAAACCAGTCAGAATGTATTCATGTCAAAGGAAAATGACATTTTGGTTAAATTGTTCATGTGGGTGTTGAAGATGAGAGCAGCTAAGTATAGCACCACGATACTAGTTTTGCTAGTCAAGGAGAGCACGAGGTGTGCAATGCTCATGCTTATTGTATTTTTCACGTCGAGTGAAATTGCTAATGTATAAAATGTAACTCTGTTAAATTGATTTATGTAAAAGTGTATTGCTAGCTCTCAAACTGGAAAAAAAGTGTTCAAAGCAGGGTTGCTTCTTAAACTTTATTTCATAGGAGGAGGAAAAGGAAAATATGAGTTAAAAATACATGTGATCTCTCTTACAAGGAATGGTTTACGTGTTCTGATGTTGTTGATGTAATCAATTTAAAATGTACATTTGTGCAGACT